GTGGGCAATCTGCAGCACTCCAGATGTTTTGGACTACATCTCCCTTGATGCTTTGCTAGCATTGTGGCTCTAATACACAGCCTCCCACAGCCCTTAATGACCTCAGCCAATTCAATGGTTCCTCATAGAGAAGTACTGGAAGGCTAGTGTGAGGCAGTAAATCGCCATACTGTGCAAGTCAAATGCTATTCTAGGAGCAGTATTTTATTGAGAACCAAGTTTGACTAGGTTCTTAAACAACCGAAATTGTCCCTAGTGGATGTCAGAAAGTCCCTGCAATGTAAAGTCTGTATAACTTTAGTTAGAGCTAAAATAGGTACTAGCGAAAGTTTCAAACTCCGCTAGTCACTGCTTGGTTATTTTAGCCTACATTTTACAATTCACATTTTAATTTATTACACTTCCGAATTTATTGATAAAACTCCTTTAATTTGTGTTTTCTTGTGTTGTTTAGTTTACTTGTTTGTTTGTTTTGTAACTCCAGTGACTCAGTGAGGCTCCAGATAAATGGAACCTGTTTTTTTGTTTTTTTTAATAGAATATCACCAACAGGCCAGTGACAACTGAACACGTGGTTTCCAAAAAAAACCAAAAAAACAACAAAAAAAAAACCCCAAAAAACGTGAGGACGCTCTGGCGTATTTCCACAACCAAGATGGCCGCCTCTGCTTCAACGGCAGGTCATGTGCTGAGCCCAATCTAGCCCCCTTGCCCTCACTCTCTATGATTACCGGGCGGAAGAGCGCTGTGGCTGCCCGATAGCTAGCTGCGTCTATCGAGCTCTCTGTGCTGCCAGGCTGCCCGGATGGCGGCGGTGCGGGGTATCCGAGTGTCGGTGAAGGCCGGAGGAGGTGGTAGCGGCCCGGAGCCCGAGCCCATGGAAGTGGAGGAAGGGGAGGTGGAGGCCCCAGCGGGCAGCAAGTCGCCCAGGGAGGTGGTTTCGGTAAGCAGTGCAGGGCTGGGCTAGCAGGGATCACTAGCCATGGGCCTCCTGCAGTCCCCGGGCTATGGAGAGACATTGGGCTGTGTGTGTCTGGGAATAGGACACCACTCTCAATCATCAATGTGTGGCCAGACAGCCATCCTACAGCAAGTCATTCATTACATGCTGTGTAGTGGCACCAGGGAGTATAGGATCTCCTTGACACATACACAACAAGTTTATTATCGCAGGGAGTTATTGGGCCATATTTATCAACACAAAAAGCGATTTGGAGGAAAGTGCTAAATCAAGGGCAATGGCCACTGTAAACTGTAAATCTTATTTTTTAGCACTATGCCCACTGGTAGCACCTCTTTGCGTTAATAAATACAGTTTTTGTGACCATGACCAGGGAAATCAATGTACTTATCAGCATGTATCAGAGGATTTGTATAACAGATTTGATTTATAGCTCTATATTAACAAAATTATTCTTATTGTATTTATAAAAATTTTTTTGTCACTTGTAGCATTAGTACTGTACGTCCCATTCACACATGCGCACTGGTGGCTAGACAACCTGTGACACTCAATTGGTGTATCCAACTCCCTAGCAAAGCGTCAGAGGAGATGTAGTTCACAGGATCTGGCGTGTCTAAGTTTTTTCCTATCCCTGATATGGTGACGTGGAACAGGCAGGTGTGTTTTTAAAGCTGCACTGTCAACATTTGGGGACCTTGTCAAATTTGCAAAGTCCCCTAATGGTGACATCGCCTCTTGAGGCACGTGGCGTGTAAAGGTGAGTTTACCTACTTGAACCTGTCCATTGTGGGTGCCTCCATCTTGATCTGTCGGGCTTTTCTTCAGCGCCGCGTGCATGCGCAAGACTACAGTATTGAAGTCTATGGGATATCCCGGGGACCGGGGGATCCTCCATAGACACAGCCAATTCACTGCAGTCAACTGAAGGGATTGAATCCTAGACTTCACCTTGTGTCAGAAAGTCAGCCGGAGGAGAAATAAGAGACAAAGTAGTCCCTTTAAAGGGACATACTAAGAACTGTAACCCCTGTAGCTTATTTGAGTCTATTGGTACAGTCCCACTAGGTTTTCTCAAACCACTTGAAATCCTCTTAATCTAGTACCTTCAGACATGTGAAGGTGATAATAAAGAATTTCACTTTCGACGTTATATGTCCAAATATTGAGACCGTATGTACATGCATTGTGTGCTGTGACTCTCAGGGTTGTTCTTTTGCACATTTTGGAACACTGAATTGCATCCTTTTTGAGCATTGAAATTCTTTTAACACTGTTTATTCATAGAGAATCAATAACTCAGGCTGCAGCAATTTGCCTTGGCCTAATCCTAGTTTAGGCTAACTGAGAGCCTGTGCAGGTAAATATTTGGATGGATAATGATGAAATAAATTTTTTCGTTATGCTACCGTGTGCCACGGCAAGCCCTGTTTTTTTTGGTTAAGATTCCAGAGAACGGCTTAACAAATACAGAGGAACTGCACCCATAACCAAACAGCATCATAGCCACTATAATAATCCTTAGGGGTTGTGGTTCCATGGTTTGGCTCTTTACACCAATGGTTTCCATATCATGACCCAGAAATAGTCAAAGTTTTATCAGTATCTCCATTGAACTCGAAAAGAGAAATTGATAAATCTGGACTGTCGCTGGGCAATGAGGACTGGTTTGGAAATCACTGCTTTACACAATCATTTTGGGACAGAGTGCTCAATTAACTTGAAAATCAACAGAATGTTTATGCTGTTTGCTCTATATTTAGCAGCTTGCCTCATACTGGATTCTGATGTTAAATGTTTGTGGCTAAAATTGAAAAATGAAACAATTTTATATATATAAACATAAACCAATGGGATATAACTTGTGCTCCACATCTACCACTATCCATCTTTATTTGTTTTCATATTTACATCCTGTTGAATCACAATGCATTTTGGGTAGAGTAAGTATAATCTGATGTCTGCTGATATTAGATGGAACTGGTTTAAGGGGAAACTCTGAGCACCAAAACAACTGTAGCTTAATGAATTGATTTTGGTGTATATGGAAAAATGGTTTAATATTCATTTAGGGCTGCTTGCAGTGTAGGGGCATAATCTATTCACCAAAACCACTCCATAAAGCTAAAGGTGATTTAATGCTAGTAATGAATAGAAGCAGATAGGATTTGCTGATGACTTTATATTTCTTCACTCTTTTTCTGTAGTATAAAAGAGTATAATTTTATTTGCAATTGGCTATTTAGTTTGTTTTATCCATGTGTAAGTGTGTTTATACTGACCGCACAAGGGGAACCTTGACCTATTCATTGATAGATGAACTGTGGTCAGTTTTCTGCTGAGCTGGATAAATGTGCTGGAAAATGACGACATATTGCTACATGTGCCTTTGGAAAAAAAATGTTTATTACTTCTTCACTTGATCTATGGGTAGTCCACATCATTTGTTACTTACATCTGTAAAAGAGCCAAAATACATTCCATATTGCAGTGACATTCACATTGAGGGGCTAAATCATTAAACACCAAACTGCAAAATTGGACAAAATGTATCTTAAGTTTTTCAAATTCCAAAATATAATCTTTCTAAATTGGCTACCTGTATTGATAAATGGCACAATTTAGAATTTATTAAAGGGACACTATAGTCATCAGACCAGCTACAGCTTAATGTAGTTATGGTGTCTATAACATGTCCCTGCAGGCATTGTAATATAAACACTGTCTTTTCAGAGAAATGGCAGTGTTTCCATTACTGTCTAGGGCAGGCTTCCCCAAACTCCGGCCCTCCAGATGTTGCTGAACTACAAGTCCCATGATTCTATGAATGATAGAATGAATAGATAGGCTGAGAATCATGGGAGGGCCAGAGTTTGGTAAAGCCTGGTCTAGGGGCACCTCCAGTGGCATTCACTCAGACGGCCACTAGAGGCACAAATGCAGAACTGATGTTCAGCATCTCCACTCTCTGCATGGAGGTGCTAATCTTTCCCCATAGAGATGCATAGTGTTTTTCACTGGATTGGCTGAGATTGGCAATGCTGATTATCTCAGCCAAGGTTGCGGAGGCAGCACCGGCAGATCCACGCTGCTCTGGGGAAAAAAAGGTAAGTTTTGGTACTTTTTAAAGTGGCGTGGACTGGGGCCCAATATCATTTAAACATTATAGGGTCAGGAATACACTGTTTTGTGTTGACACTTTTTATGTTGCTCATCCAAGCAGGACTGACCAGACATAGTTAGTTTATGTGTACTGTTATTTATTCTAAAGGGACACTCCAAGCACCAAAACCATTTCATTTAAATGGTGTTATGGTGCTAGGAGGCCCCTGGATGCACTCTTGCTTCAGTAGCTTAAACTGTTCTCCAACGGTATAGCCCCAAAATTGCCTCCAGCAGTGGTGACCGCTCACCCCAGGTGGCATCTGGCAGTGACTTCCCATTCACTAAACTGGCTTGGAAAAGGAACGTTTATGGTACCTTTATAATGCATATAACAGGTCGTCTCTCTGAAAATAACCAGTTCTGGAACTCTAAAGTATATTATTAGAGGACTGCCATGTTTTTATATATTTATTTGTAATCTGCCATGTGTATGTCTACTTTGGTAATTATAGAATTAGTTGAGGCTGCCTAACTCAGGAGATAATATACTCGTAAACGAACTTCAGAGTGTTCTATGCAGTAACAAAACCTCTTATCTTCGAATTTGCTGGGTCAGTGTTTAAGACTGAATATTTCCTCAATAAGATGATGTAATAAGCAGTCCAGCTGTCACACAGTGGATTATTTGCAGGGGGCCAACTGAGCACATCTGGAAAATAACCCTCCCCAGTATCCCTTGCTGACTTGGGGTGGGGTTTTGCATTGCTAAGCACATAGCTTCAGAGCTGTTCAGTTTATTTTCAGTGAGATCCCCCTTAATTGACTGACAGCGCAGAGTTCCAGTGAAGTAACCTGTTTTATTCTTCTATTTAAATCTGTATTTTGTGCCAGGCAGATAAAAAAAAAAAAAAAGGTACTGACTAGCGTATTGGTACAAATAAGTATACCGCTGCAACTGTGTTCATACACATGATCTACATCCTTTGTGATCTGCACCAACAAGGTATTCCAGGGTAGTTTACGAAACATATTTGGTCATGTGCAGAAGTTGTTTCCATGCATTTGTCCAGCTTTTAATGATGGCTAGAGGTGAGAGGTAAATAGTTAAATTCTTAAAGGGACATTATAGTCACCAGTTCCACTTAAATCCAGAGAAAAGGCATTGTTTACATTGCTGCCTAAGAGCACCTCTGGGAGCACTCACTCAGACTGCCAGTAGAAGTGCTTCCTTTGTCAATGCTGCAGTGTTGAGACGCTGAATGCTCCCCATAGAGATGTATTGATTCAATGCAGCTCTATGAGCAGATGCTGATTGGTGTTTTGCCACGCATGCACAATAGCTTCCTAATGCCTTCCTATGGGAAAGCATTGGCTTGGCTGAGATAATCAAGATTAAGAATTTCAGGCGTGGCCAGCTGTAGCGAGATTAGATCTGTGATTGAGAAAAGGTAAGTAAAGCTTCCTCTTAACTCCTTACTGAGTAGGGACTGACAGGGTGCCTTGAGTGTCAGCTGATGCTTTTAGCCTGTCACTAACTTCCCATTCACAAAACTGTGTGACAAAGGTGCGTGCACCTGTAAGGGGTTAAACTACTTCTAAACAGTTTAACCTCTTAAGGTAAAACATAACTGAGGACCTCCTGGTACCATAACAACTTAATTGAAATTACATTTCTTTAAAGCAACACTGTAAGCACCAAAAGCACTTCTTAATGCAATCATTTTGGTACATAGACTTTCCCCTTGCACTCTGTGAGAAATGGCAGGTTTTAAACTATTGTCAAAATCATCTAGTATTGGTCAGACAGTGAAGACTCATGTGACTTAGGACCTAATTAAAGGTGTTTTGTCGAATTTGCTGTACAATTAAAGAAGGGATTAATGACCTGAGCTTTAGGGGCTCTAGTTCTCTACTTTTTGTTTTTTTTGACAATGTACTACAATATAAAATTAGAATTTTCCATGTTTAATTGAACAAATGAAGCTAATGTCTTTCTGCATGTGAGTGTGTATTTTCTTATATCAAGGGGTAGAATAAGTTACTTCTGCATGTGTAAATCCCTGTACATTAAATTACCTTTGATTTGAGCTTTTCCCACTCCAAGAATTACCGTGACCAGTTGGGAGCTTCTTATTCTGGTCAATGGAGATTGAACTTTTGGACATGTTAAAACTAGCATTGTAACTCTTAAAGGAACGCTTCAACGGCAGACTCTAGAGAGTCCATTCAAGCTTTAATAGAGGAGATAACGGTCTATGTGCACATGGCAGAGTTTTTGTGACTTGCCATTCAGTTATATCCATTCTCTTTTGGAAAGCTGTTTTAGAGTTCTGGCAGAAAGCTTTGCTCGCTGCACGTTCTAATGACATATACAACTGTGCTACTGGACACTTAGGATAATGGGACAAAAAAGTAACTGAAGCTGAGAATATGAACCAGCAAGAAGGAGGCATTTTAGCGTGGAGGAGACTTGTTTAAGACGTGTTTTATGATATTCTGTTATTCTTTCTCTTTCAAATAATCCTTGATTTGCTGGCATTAAAAGCCACATGTAGCTGCTGTGTATCAACAGGATGGTGAATTTGGTTCTCAGGAGGCACAATCACACCATCCTGCTTCTTTCTAAGTAAATACACTTCTCTTCTTTGGCACTGATAGAAAGTATTTGTTTTGTTGTTTTTGCTCTTTGCGTATAGAGCACTGAAAGACTTTTATGTACAGATGTGGGTAGATATCTATCCCTCCCAGACCGACATAATTTTGGGTCATCTGTATATTTATTTGCAGTGGTGGTAACTTTATTTTATTCTGTTTACAGGGCACCAGTAGTAGGCGTTATGAAAATAAGGCTGGGACCTTCATCACAGGGATTGATGTAACATCAAAGGTAAGCATTCTCTTTTGAGATATCGTCTGTTTATTGGCACAGATAAGCTGATACATTAGACATTATATGCACAGTCTGCTTGGAAGCTCCAAACATTCTTTTATTTTATTGGAATTGGAAAAAATATAGTTTGTGAGCTGAATTCCAATTCACAAAAGTCAATAGATGCGACTGCTAATATTATTATGCAGTTGAGAGAGGGGATGGATGCATGTGCTTCTCTCAATGGACACCTTCACAAAGTCTGATCTCTTTTGCGATACTTTTAAAACCACGGACCTCTCCTTTTTTACCAGGAAGCGATTGAGAAGAAGGAACAGAGAGCGAAGCGTTTCCACTTCCGTGCAGAGGTCAATGACAATCAAAAGGATGTTGTACTGGATCGAGAAATTATCAGAAAAGGTATCCATAAAAATTTATTTTTCATAGTCACAAAACATTCACTCTGGAACTCTGTGAGATCACTAGAAGAGACAATTAAGGAACATTCCAAGCACCATAACTACTACAGCCAGCTGTAGTGGCTGTCGAGCCTGAGTTTCCTGGCATGACCCATTGCAGTAGTAAAACTGTCTGTAGAAGGTTTGACTTCTTAGCTAGGGTCTGCTGAGCACTGCTTCTCTCAGCCAATGAGTTGACTTTGCAGTGCAGGACTTCGCTCATGAGAGCTAACAGGGCTTAGGAGCTACTGATCTTCGACTGAAGTAGTTGAGGCAGGGAGTGATTCCTGGCAGACCCCACATAAGAAGACAACTTACAGTAGGTGTCAATCCTGGCACCATACACTTAAAGACACTGTTTATTTTGTTCAAAACAAGTAATTTTAACCTGCTTTTTTACTTCAGAGAAATTAAAAGTAGATTTATTATTATTTATTTTTGTTTGTTTCATGGCATTCTATGAGCTGATCAGTTGTACATGGTTTGCACAGCAGCCTACGGTGATAAACCTGTACAAACCCAGGCTACTTTTTTCATCCCCTTAAAAGCTGCAACATATTCTGTCATGCACTTTTTTATTTTTATTATACTAAAACCTCATTGTATAGGTAAGCTGTTTAAAACCAATGCAGGTAGTCCGGTCAGGCTCACGGCTCAGGCCCAAAAATGAGCGGGGGGCGGGCGGGTTTCCCAAAAGTTGGAAAGGAGGCTGGGCAGTTTGACATAATCAGAGCCTCTGCCTTAAAGTTACATTGTATATCACTTTGCTTCATTACCTACTATGTTTTATATGTTCTTTTATCATTAAAATGTAAAAACTAATGGAATGCGAATGGTCAAGCCACCATTGAGAGACTTGTTAAGTGTCATTAACAACTTCTTCTTTTCTGTAACTCAATTGAATTCACTATTGTGATTTGATTTTTGCAAAAGCCTACTTGATGTAATACCGCATATCTATCAGTGCAAAAACAAAACCAATACAGGTATACATGTCTTCACAGCCCCAGCTGTTGCTCATATGAGAAAGGCACTCTTTAGCCACAGATCCCTCCCAGACCTGGAAAAAGACTGGGAGGGAGCATGTTGAACTGATTTGGAAATGTCCCAGAAGGACTTAGTGTGCATGGCACATTGAACAACAGAAAGCTAAGAAATCTGTCATCTGTGCAATTTGAAATGTTATGTCATGTGAGCTGACCTACAATTTGCACAATTTAATGAACAAACCACACAGTATTGCCTGTATAGTCATGTTTCCTAGGCAATGGAAAACTGTGTGTGTGTGTAATCACCTGTGTTAGTGCTGTGGGTAATTCAATCCTATGTAAATTTCCCTGGGGAATAGTTAGACGTTCATTAAACATATTCTTTGTTCTGGATGTGTTGCTAGGATGAGGTACCATAGGTGTGTCTGCTCCCTGATGTGCTTCTTCTCATGGTTTCATTCAATGCCTCTGAATGCTAAAAGCATGCATTTTGATGTAAACATGTGTGTATGTATATATTTTTAAATTTCAGCTGATTAAAACCAGAAATATGTGTGGTTATTTTTTTATTTTTTTTCAGCACTTCCTAAGGTCCGTCTGGAAACCCTTTACGTCTGCGGTGTAGACGACCTGAGCACACAGGATATATTTAGTTTCTTTAAACAGTATCCTCCTGGTTTCATTGAATGGCTTGATGATTCCTCTTGTAAGTATCTACCACTTAATAATAAAGGGTCATACATAACATTCCATGTTACAGTGTAAAATAAGACTAGAAACCAGCATATTAGTTATGTGAATTTGGGACTAGGGAATTATGTGTGTGTCTATGTATGTTATCTGTAAATGATTAGACTGGCTTTTTCACACCCACAGTGGCTATGGTCCTGGAGTCCTTAGGATACAGAAACTGCTGATGTCTTTCCTTTAACCATTGGCTTTTTTTTTTTTTTTGCGACTAAAGCCATCATGACATCCATCTAAGCCATCATACCAAGGCGTAGTGTGGCGGCCACTTGGGTAGAAACGTGGGTTTCGCCGCCAGAGATGTCGTTTTCCCCCCTAGTAGTGAGTTATGCTGTAGTAATCTCAAGCAGGCTTTCCCAATAGCGATAATCCAAAGCAGGTATACTAGTGATATAGCAGGTATAGCTTTCCCCCACAGAAATTAGTCAAGACTGAATGCTGGGGGTGAACTGGTTTATTGGAGGCCACACATGGCCTTTTATGCAACAGCCCTTGCAAGGGGTTTCCAACACAACATTACAGGGTAATCTCCCCCAGCCCACCATGGTTTCTCTGCACCTGAGAGAGAACTGCTTGAAAGTAAACCTCTAAATTAAATTATCTCTCAGGTACAGAACATATCCAATTTGTTATACACACAACACAATCAGGAGCCTCTTCAAATCCTATATCCCTGGATCTGAGTGCCCAACATATCCAAAACGCGCTCAGATCCCACGAATGCACCTGAAACACCACCAGGGTAAAGTTCTGACCGACCGCACACAAGAGGGGTACAAAATCATACAAAATACCAAACGTAGATGTTAGTCCGTATGCTGATTATGTGTCCCTCATTCGGGAGTAAGCTCCCACCGAACGGTGTTCCATTCAGTTGAATATAACAGAATGCAGGCGGAGATGGAAGTTCAGCGGTGTTCGGGCGGTCAAGTGTCCGATTTTAGTTTCATGCATTCGACAACCAAACACCGCTGCCTGCGTTCGCGGCTCAAGCTGCCGCCACCACCACGTGTTCGTACATACGAACGGCGACCGCTTAGAATGCTGCGGTTAAAAGTGTTAATGAGATGTTTACATGGGTGATGGAGGTTAACAAGCAGCACACGCAGCGTACAGGTGGTCTGGTAGTTCGTGAGTTTGTTCAGTATTTGAACAAAACAAGAATACAATTTTTGGCGAACACCATATACCGAACAAACCGGAGAATCGAAAAAGAGCTTAATAATCCAAGGACAGGGTGGTCTGTCACACGTAGTTTTTACTTTTTTTTTTTTTTTTTTTTTTAAATTCAGGTAATGTGGTTTGGCTCGATGAAGTGACATCCACACGTGCTTTGTTGAACCTTAGCTCAATGCCAAGTGACTCAAAGACTAAAACGAAGAAGGATGTGGATGTGGAAGCTAGATCAACAAAATCCAAAAAAGGTAATCACTTGTATAATTCTTTATTCACGATTGATTGCAAATTCCCAAACCTTCTCACGCACCATGTATTAAAATGAAGAAAACAATTTTATATGTAGGAGCCAAAACCAAGTACTAACATGGTTTTCTATAGATATACATTGAGTCAGAAGTAATGTATAGCTATGTGTGTGCTGCTATTGGAGATTTGTCAAACTCTGCTCTCTTAAATAATGGACTCTACACTCAAAATGAGATGAATGCATGGAGTGCTAAACAGTATATATTTATTTGGCTCCTCCTGCAGACAGATTTGATGACAGCTCTGGAGAGGAGACTGAAGAAGGGGAAGTGGATGAAGACAATGCCAGCGAAGCAGAGGAAGAATCCGAGAAGAAAGCAGTGAGCACGGTGAGGTTTCCAGCATATATACATTTCTACCAAATGCAATGGTGAAACACACTGGTTTTGCAAGGAAGCAAGTGATTCTGCACTCTCTGTAGAACACACAGGCAATTTGGGATTCCTCCCATGACTTTCAGTAATGCCAGTGGCTAATTGCAAACCTGCACCTGTGGTTATACACTTTAAAAAAAAAGAAATTTTTTTTTTTAAATTTATTTACATATTAAACCTATTTATGCAAGACAAGTTGAAGAAGCTATCCAGGTGATAAGACCTTAAGTAGCTAAACTGACATTGTATTTGAATAGGCCAGAACATGACATGTTATTTAGAAGTCAATGCAAATTGTCAAAGGAACACTACAGTGTTAGAAATACAACTCCTAAAACTATAGCGTTCCTGTATAGAATAAAATAATTTTATTTTTTGCCTCACCTTGCCCCAGTGCCAAGACTCCCTCTGTGCTGCTTAGTTCTCCTCCTCTGACAATGTCACAGAGGTCTGCTTTTTATCCAATCCAGTGCTCCTCATAGAGGATCATTGGAGACTGAATTCTCATAAATAGCACTGTTTTACCTTTCAGGGTTATGAAGAACAGGACCGTGCACTCAGACCACCTATTTGAGATGAAATGGTCTAGGTGACTATAGTGTTATTTTAAGTAAATGGAAAAATAAGGATATGTACAGTAATATGTTACAGGTCTTCCATTATTAAAGCACTGTATTCTATTATATAAAAGAGCACTCATCTTTTTATAACAAAAATACATAAGCTCAGTTTAAAAAAAAACAAAAACATTGCATCCTGTACTAATTGCTTGATACTAGAAGTAAAATATCCCCCCTCACTTGGTTGCCTGCACAGTATTCCATGCGATTAGTTTACAGAAATGTATTAATAAACTCAGTTTATCTATGATGCCTTTTCTGCAATATCTATAATCATCTGATGTTTACTTTTGCATCCTATAATGCAGTGTTTATCTCACATTATGTAGGTGGCGTTTGCCATGTAGCTCCTTTCAAAGCAGCACTTTTTCACAGATCTGCTCTTAAAGTTTAAATTAAGAATTATTTTGGCTGTTCTTAGACTTTTTATTCGAGAAGCTGGCATTCTATTTTTCTCTAGCTGGATACACTTTCACAGGCAGAAGAGACCTCTTTACTACAAAATGACCTCCGACCTTCGGTCAAGTTATTTAAAGGAAATAAAATCTACATGCGTTTTGCAACTGAAGGTAAAAATCCTGTTTGCTATGACCTTCGAATAGTATAGTAATGGCTAATCGTCGCTCACACCCAATGTTTGTCTGGTACATTTTCATTGATGCTCAGTCGGATTAAAGTCTCTAGGAAGGAGTTCCTTTGAATCTGTAGCTGTGTTAATAGTTTTGTTGCTTAGATGAAATCTAATATATATACACCTTTTTATTCTACAGATTTCAGTAAATGTTCTCGGAGTATGCATCCTACCCAGCCTGAAAGAAAGCTATATTTTTCAAGCTAAAAATGCAGATTTATTTACACACCATGTAACCTAGCCAAACATTGCATACTTTATGAAGAAGTAACAAACTCTGCTTTGAAATTTCATATTTAAAAATCGGTCTTCCGTGCTTCTTTAGGGAGTTTGTCAACTACAAAGAATAGTTCTTGACTTCTTGGTTTTTGGTCTTTTGCCTTCACATTGATGTAAAAATCCAGACTTTAAACTTTTTAATGTGTTGCTTGGCATCTATAATAGCAAGGTTTATTCTTATGGAGGGCGTCTGTTCTCTCTGCCTCCTGTCTCCTCCTCCTCCATACAGTCCAGAAGGTGTAATTTGACAACTATTGATAGGATGAGAGTGTCAATGGCCGCCATTGGGAGTCAAAGTAGCTGCAGTGGGCAAACCTTCCTGGACATTATGGCAGCTGGAGGACGGACAGAAGGCAGAGCTATTGAGTGCCGGGGAGCAATTTAAACTGTTCGCAACCGGTGTAACCCACTGCAGAAACGACAGATCTCAGGCTGTTTTGTCAACATCAATAAAATTCCAGTTGTTCAGTAAATTTATACGAGTTTTTGTGCTTATTCTCAATCGAGCTATTACAAAAATATCTGCCTTTTTTGTTTTTATTATTTTGTTCTTCAGATGACAAGAAAGAGCTGGGAGCCGCACGAAGGAGCCAATATTATATGAAGTATGGAAACCCCAACTATGGTGGTATGAAAGGAATCCTTAGCAACTCCTGGTCAGTATAATTATTAGAAGCATGGCAACGTGTATTTTATTTTCACTTGCTTACTATTCATGCTTAGATACCCAGTAACACATTTTCCAAGAGTTTTGAAAAGTATCTGTAATTACTGTAGCATAGGTCTTCGGATAATTTGAAGACCTTAATGTGTAGCACAGACATTTCAGCATAAATTGCTCAGAAGAGTTTGCTTGAACAGTCTATAAGAATTGCTAAGAAACAGACAAGTATTGTCAATGGCAACAGACAGGATGTATTAGATGTTGAATTCTATTTAGTTGACAAAGTCATAATTTGAAATGTTTGCGTGTAACCTAGTAACATAAGCTCTGTACGTGTGGTTCCCATATTGTCATTTTGTGGGTTGAGTTGCTGGTGGCAGAGCTGCAGATATTTTCTAAATTCATGGTCAGGTGTCTGTTTACAGTGTGCCACGAGTTGTGGTTTATGTATTCAAAAAGCAAGTAAAAGTAGTAGCCTGATTTTCAAGAGCAGTACATTGAGGGTGAGTAAGAATTTTCAGTACAACATTTAAAGCTAATGAATGCATTGGTGAGTCTGACATAGACACATATGGAATACCAGAGGCTAGACAGAATGAACAGTGGGTACGTGATAGACTATCCATTGAGAAGAGTAGACCTGTATGGTTGTAGTGTTAGAGTCTGATAGGCAAAAGTAGCGGAATAAAATGTAAAAACAATGTAGTGGAAGTTTGAGATTGTGGCTTTATGAACCAAGGGAGATTTCGGTTGCAATGGAGAATAAAGGGGCTCATTAGCTGATCTTATTTATTAAGCAGCAGGATGCAATCCAGGAAGAAATCTTTTACAGTAACTAAAGCATGAGATTATTCAGGGGTGGATGAGTCTTTCATGAGCACACCTATCTTATTGAAATACAAAAAAAATAATTAATTTGACAAGCAAGATCAAGCATGTCAAACTCAAAGTCTAGCAAGGGCCAAATAAACAAGGTTTACGTTTATGTGGGCTGCAAAAAAAAAACCCAAAACTTACATTTTCATAGAAACATAGATTTATTTTGAAAAGTACAGTATAAAAAAAAAAGCATCCCCCTTTACTAAACCACAGCACCCCCCATATACTAAATCCCAGTCCCCCTCTCTACTAAATCCCAGCACCCCCCTCCAGCTAACAAGCAGACTCCACTCACAATGCCACTGCCAGTATGCGACTCCGGAGCCTGAGCTCTGGTATATCCCAAATGGCGCTGTCCGCACCATGTGCCAAAGCAGGTCCTCCCGCTACTTCTGGACACCCTGTGAAGGTGGAGCACGTCGACGTCATGCTGGAATGTGACCTGGCGTTGCGTGCCTCCGTGCACCTCCAGGTCCTCCATTGTCCAGTTGCGGCCATTGCAACACTGACCGCCACAAACACACACATTCACTGAAACACAGAGACACACACTTACACATTCTTGCACACGCTCACATTATTGTAATTATTACTGGTGTACAGTGGAGATCTTCTGTCTGGAGCTCAGCCTTCCAGCCCCCTCGCGTGCAGTTTAATGATGCTGAGCGACGGAATATGATGTCATATGCGGGCGCCCGGCATCACTACTGGCGGCTTGTGCGAGAACAGTGAGGAAGTAGGAACACTGAGCTCCCTCACTGCATCCACTGTCTCCTCCTCCCCAGTGTGGGGAAAGCAGGTGCCTACTCGGCTTGGAACACTAGGCAATTAGGCATGTACTCGCTGCTTGCCGGGATGCTAAGCCGCGAGTTTGACATGCTTTGTGTAGATGGAAGATCATGTAGATAATGTTGACATACTAAATCAATAAGTAGGTTAAAAAAACATTTTAAAATTTTTTTTTATTAAGTTTGCATGGGTCTATGTTTACATTTTCCAAGTGGAAAACTAAATGCCCATGGTCTGTTCCTTTTGATTTTTGAAGAAAATGTTCTAGGTAAGATAAGACTTTGTTTATCCATTCAAGGAAGTGCAGTATGGTTTGTAGTTTATCCTGGATTGAGCTTTCAAAAGATCAAACTTTGTAATGTTGGTGTAAAAAATTGCAGGAAGCGGAGGTATCATTCCCGTCGCATACAGCGAGATGTAATAAAGAAAAGAACGTTTATTGGAGATGATGAAGTTGGGGTGGCTCCAGCATACAAGCACCTTCATTCAGGTAAAGCTATTTAAAAAAATAAAATTGATTTATAGTTTTTGTATGTTTTTTTTATGTTTTCTTTTCTAGTTTTCTTTTCCTTGTGCGTGGAGGATGCGGTTACAGATTCCATTTCTTTTCCAAACTTCCGTTAATTTTGTCCCATAAAACAATGTTTCTTTAATTTCATAATTATACAAATGAAATTTAATCTAGACTACGTGTTTGTACATATAACACCACTCAGATTAAATTTAATCTGTCTCTTTGTCTTTTATTGCTGATTGAGTACTGTTCCAACTACTCTGCATTAAATTTCTTCTAGGTCTTGTGAATGTGCCAGAGGAGCCTATAGAAGAGGAAGAAGAAGAGGAGGAGGAAGAAGATGAAGATATGGATGAAGATGATCGTGTTGTAGTAGAATATAGAGATGAGCTCCAAGCGTTCAAAAGGGAGAGGGAAGGAGCACGTCGCTCAGCAGCCAGCAATTCAGATTCCGATGAGATGGACTATGACCTGGAGTTAAAGATGATCTCCACACCTTCACCCAAAAAGAGCATGAAGATGACCATGTATGCAGATGAAGTAGAGTCACAACTAAAAAATATCAGGTAGAAAAAATATTTAGAAAGTTGTTATATTTATCTTTTGAATGTTTTGCCTGCTATAAGCCTACCCACCAAGTGGCCTTTCTTTAACCCGCCCTTGCCTTTCAAATTCTCTTCTCTTCACTCAGTGGCAAATGAGATCCTTTCTACTTTATATTATGCTAACGGGACAATTTAAATCTGTTTTCCTTCTACAGAAACTCCATGAGATCAGAAGGAAACAGCAGTGTGAAAAACCGCATTGGAAGCAAATCCCATTCTGAGAAACCAACCGATGTACGACTACTACTGGAAGAGAAGAGGCTAGGTTCAACAAGCAGGCTGCCAAGCAGTGGAACAAAATCAGGTAAATTGTAGGGATCGACCGATATTGATTTTTTTTTAGAGCTATACCGATATTCTGTGAACTTTCAGGCCGATAGCCGATATAATTTGCCGATATTCTGTACATTTACCATTTTGGAAAATAAAAACTTTCTAAAGGTAAATGCACAAAATATACATGCCACGTGTAGTGGATGCAGTGTGTTTAGACAGGGGAGCTGTATGTGTTTGTGTAGTGGATGCAGTGTGTTTGTGTAGTGGATGCAGTGTGTGTGTGTGTTTGTGTAGTGGATGCAGTGTGTGTTTGTGTAGTGTGTGTGCAGTGTGTATTTGTCTAGTGTGTAGTGGATGCTGTGTGTATTATACATATATATTATATTATCATATGATTAAAAGGAATAACATCTCAGGCTTCTAGTTGTTGAAAATGGAATGAACTTGGGAGAAAAACACACAAGGTAACAAACTGGAGGTAGTGGCATGTTCCATATAGAAGTAGTCAAGTACTCTTCCCAATTATTGCAGTCCTGTGCTGGGGACTGAACAACCAAATATCTTTTTACAGAGCGTTGTGAGCACAGGGAACATAAAATAACATTCTAAACTCTTACTCATACCCTTTAATCCAGCCACAAGATAGATTCACTGCAGTCTGATCATGAGATTATCAAGTTTGATGATCTGTGTTGAACCTGATGCTTATTCTGTGTTGAACCTGATTCTCATTGACACATGGCACAATTGCTATTCTCAAAGCCAATGCTTCTCATAGAGCAGCAGTGGATGCACAGCCAATGTCTGTTTCAACCAAAAGCCCTTGGTTGCTGTATGCTTCTCAGAAACCTCACTCCTTTCATTTTCTAGAATGTAGGTGCAGCGTCTGTATTAAAATCACTCCATAAACAAGGTGGTTTTGGTGCTTATACTGTATAATTTACAAATTACATTATAGAAGATCTAAAAAATCACTTTACAATAATGTCCTGTTATAAAGGGTTCGAAGTCTGCAGGTTTTTCTCAAGTCTTTTGTGAGAGTTACCCATCTTATCTCCCACAAGATTCAGGGGGGCAGTTCTTCATGCTGGCACTAGGTGGCCTCTTCATAGCTCTGTGCAGGTTAATGATGCTATGTAAGATAAGAAGAAACAAATCCTATCTATTCACAAAGCGTATAGTGATTCACAGCCTGGAGAGGTGTGACTAGGGCTGCAGAAATAGTCATTTAACTCCTACACTAAGCAATGAGACTGCAGAGGCATGATCTATGCACCAAACCGCTTCATTAAACTCAAGTGGTTTTAGTGCTTTGACTGACTCTTTAAGCTAATACATTGTTTTTCATAAGCTGCAGGTGCTCTATAAAAAAAGTGGCATTAAAATAAATTGTACGTGTACTATAATCATCATCTGCCCATGCATTGCACTGTTACAATGACTTTGTTTTTCTGATGCTATTTGTGTGCATAACAATAATGTGAGCTTGACATATTGAAAACAGTGTTTATAAAAGTCACATCAGTAGTAGTGTCAGTAATGTCTTGCTAAGGTAGATACAGAAATAACCCAACTTCTATATCCTGTTCATATGCCTTAACTCATTGTGATATTGGATTTTAAGTTGCCTGGCTTTTGTATTTGTTTTTTTGTTTGGACTAACTGTGTCATTTTATTTTGTTCATTAGATGTGAGGCAGCGGCTTGGTAAAAGAGCACATTCCCCTGACCCTCGTAAACCAGTGTGCATAGTGCCTGCCCCCCGCAGAGAGCCAGTGTCTGATGTCCATAGCCGGCTTGGAATCCCAAAACAAGTGGAGGGGAAAGGATTGTATTCTGACAGCAAGGAGAAAAAAACAGGTTTGCTTTTTTCCTGTGTTTGAGAGAATATTAAAGCGGCACTTCATGTCTTGTATATCTTTGTATCATTATGTTACTCCCTTTTTAATTACCTTTTATTCTCCCATCCCCCAACCCAAACCTTATCCATTGGTGTTCAAGCAGTGAAAAGTGCATGTTACTACTCACTGTCGCTTCTCCTTATTGCCCTCCGCATGTTCAGTGTAAGGAAGTTAACTCCTCAACTCCTACTAGTGGCAGTCACTGGAACAGCATTTTAAAAGAAAAACTATTTGACAAAGAAAATCGCTGTTCGCCAATAGTCTTGACAAAATTGCTTTACCGGTATATTATATGCACCTGAAACAGCCACAAGCTGGACTTCCTGGGTTCAGACCTACAAACACTGTAAGAACCGATGTTTAGTGTCTCCTATGCATGGAGACACTAAACACTCCCCATAGAGATGCACTGTCTCATTGATTGGCGCAGGACGGCGATTATCTCGCTGTGCATGGTGACATCAAACACGAAGCCCTTTGAAAATCAATGGTTTTCAGTCTGGAAGCACCTCCTTATGGCTGCCAGTCTGACAGCCACTAAAGCTTAGACCATGGGTCGTCAACCTCGTCCCTACCGCCCACTAGTGGGCGTTTTGTGATTCCAGGTGGGCGGTAGGGACTTTGGAGGTTAAAACCTCCTTTTGAGCGAGCGAGCGCGCGCGCACACATCAAGAAACCGTGGGCGGTCGGCGCAGGCGGGCACGAGTACACACATCAATCAACCTCCTTTTGTGTGAGAAGTTGTCTGGCGGGTGCGAGCGGACGCAAACACGTGGGAAGAGGAAGGGGAGGAGTGGAAACTGACAGGCAGGGACAGGCAGAAGCAGGCAGAAACGGAGCAGAGGAGTTGCAAAAGAAAAGTTATAGGCAGGAGAAAGAGAATTGTTGGCTAATAATAATAAGTGGGCTAACTAGCTCAGCCTTACTTTTGTCGCTCAGGAAGGTAAAAGAAAGGAGATAAAAAGGAAAAGATAAAAAAAAAATAACAAAAAAAGGAAGAAAAATAGAGAAAAGGGGATAAAATAAAGGAGGAGAGTAAGCAGTGTTTAGTCTGGCTCATAAATTAAGTTTTGTTATCGTATAAAATAAAAGAAAAAAATAAGTAAGGGAAGGAGAAAATAAAAAAAAAAAAAAAAAGGGAAAAAAAATCCTTAATATAGTGATATACTATAAGGAAGGTAAAGAAGCAGGCAGGAAAAGGAATTTCTTTTGATGGTGACATTAATAAAATTTGGCACCTAATACAGCATTGTTTTTGGTGTTAGTAATAAAAGGGAAAAGAGGAGGGAAAAAAGCACTGTGTGGAGTGCAGATCAAAACGTAAGAGTAAAAGTAGTAATTACTTTTGGAATTTTGGCAGTGGTGGATACCAAAAACTCTGGCAAAAAAAAAAAAAAATGCCTGCGTTATATCCAAATATGTGGAAAATAATGTTCAATTTATTGATACCTTTCCCTACCACATATCTTGTAGAATCAGGCTTTAGTGCTGTTAATCATATTATGAAAAAACAGAGAAACCATCTGAATATCACCGAAAGAGGAGACCTTCGTTTGTTACTTACGAAAATCGAACCAGATCTCAAATATTTAGTCTCGCAGCATCAGCCTCAAGGATCTAATTTCTAATTAAACTTTATAAAGTAAAAAATATTATAAACATGCATAAAGTAGAAATAAAAAGATAAATGTACGTACGTTTATTTTTTTTAAAACACCCTACTTTCTAAAAAATATTCTGCGCTTGCGCGAAAACTGGTGGGCGGTAAGGAAATTTTTCCATCAAGAAAGATGCATTAGTGGGCGGTAGGTAGAAAAAGGTTGAATACCACTGGCTTAGATAAATGTAAACATAACCATTTCTCTCATTACAAATATCATCTGTGAAGAATGCTGTTGCTGGAAAAAGATCTTCCAAACACCAGGCATTGCCACCATAAAAATGGTTTGAAAGCACAGGGCAAAAAATCTAATTCTTCTCAATAAAACCCTTTTCAACTGTATTTACTGTGGTCTTTGCAAGATACCTAGTGGAAAAAATATACACTACATAAAAAAACCCTCTATTGGTTCAATAAAGTGAATGTCCTTCTAAGTTTGTGTTTCTCGCCATGTTTTATTATTCATCCTTTTTATTCTTCATTAGGGGGTTTGTGGAATCGCTTGGGAACTGCACCAAAAGAGAAGGAAAAGCCTACTGAGAAGACAGAAAATGTGACTCGTGCTACAGAAGAGGATGATTCTGTACTGCAGCAAGCTTGGGGTGCCATGATTAAGGAGAAAGAGCAAATCAGGCAGAAAAAGAGCCGTCTGGACAGCTTGCCTTCCTTACAGATTGAAATCAGTCGGGAGAGCAGTTCTGGCTCAGACACGGACTCCTGATGACTTAAGACTTCCAACACATGGGACTATAGCTTCAATAGCATGGCAGCAACTTGAAAACATGCAGCCTCTGCCTTTCAGAAAACAATTATTATTTTATACTGCTTAGACACAAGTAGTTGCAGCAGTGTTCTCAACATGCCTCTACAAAAATCCATACGCTGGGATTACCAGTGATTAAACAAATTGTATTGGTTTATTACTAAGTGTTTGCATTTTTATTACGTTCGGTTTCTTTTGTGCAGTAGATGCCATTTCCAGCCTTAAAATGACTCTGCAGTCCCCTAAAGTACTCGAGCTTGCTGAAGAGTTTTAGGGGTTAACTGCATATCCTCTATCTGATTTTATAGAAGAGTGGATTCTAAGAGAAATCTATACTTTGAATATATTAACAATTGGTGTGGAATATGTGGCGCTGAATAATAAATGTGAACAGTGGATTATAGTTGCTGTATACACTCTATGGGTACTCCTAAAAACCCACCATACAAAGATAAACACCAAGAAACAGAAAAGATTTCAGACTTAAAAATGTGTTGCCACCCCTTAGGTCTTCTATTTTTAAGAGTGCAGCGCTGTATAGTATGTGAAAACACAGTGAATTACCTGTGATTCAAAGACAATTATCCTTTATATTCTCCAATGTAATATACATACAAAAGAAAACAGAAATATATACAGATAATTGTGCAGTATGTCAAATACTTTAGTGAAAAGTTTAGTGAGTAACGGATATATCTACACTCACATTTTTTAGAGCCTTTTCAAGTGAATTAGGCTCTAAACTTCCGTGCGTCTGTGTCTTTAAGGGTAGATCACACGACCCCTCTCTCCAGGTTGTGTGTATTTTCCTCTCCACAACGTATATAAAAGACACAGAATTATCCAACTAAGTGTAGCATCCTTTGTAATATTTACATACACTTAAATAAATTAAAGTGCTCACCTTATTTAGAGCCTTTTGGTAACTGGCTCTAAGTGTATAGGCTTAGTGTCAATTTGTGGGGTGACACTGCCCCTTCCCTGGAATCACTGGTGCTGGATACAGTGGATTATGTAAAATAAGAGAATTTATTACAGAGTATATAAAATCAGTATAAAAATATTTCTAGAAAATAAAAAATAATGAATAAGAACAAAGTATTGCGAGTATTGGTGGTTTAACAAAAATGATGAGTCCACTTTAAATGCCAAAACACGTTTCGCCGGTAAAAACGGCTTCCTCAGTCAGCTTGTGGGTGTCCTCTTGGTATTCTGTGTTTTAAGCGTCCAAAATCCCGCCTAAAATGTCTTCTTCCAATCGAATGGCTCCTTTTGTCATCTGACGCGGCTAAAATGCCGTTGCGTCACTTCCGGGTTTTCGGCACTATAGGATCCAGAGTGCTTTGCGCTTAGCGCATCACTTCCGGTTTTCGTCCGGTTGTTTGTGGGAAATATAGTCCGCAATGGGAGTTTTGTCAGTTCATATTAGAGCCCTCTTGGGCTCACATACAGTTTACAATGAAAATAAAAGAGAAACATTGTAGTTAAATGTTATATATTACTTATCTTTAGAATGTATATCTTTATAAAATCCTACTTATACATTTCTATTTCTCCTTATATATTATAATTTTTTAAGGAGCAATAACTTCAATTCTATTCAGACTCATTTGTTAATCATATAATTTAATCTCTATTGTAAGCAATGGTATCTCTTATATAGAAAACATACAGAACTTGAACACAGTGGAAGAAGGGTGGCTTGTGTTAAAAATGTGTATTCTTATGAAGTCCTATTTGTGCAAACATATTCCACCTTTACTTATTTCTAAAATTTCTACTGCTTTTTATTCTAATTGATTTGAATGTATAAAATTAGCTTAAAAATAAATATATTTAATTGTTTATATATCAAAGCAGTGGGGACTCTTATCCGAAAAAAATAGACCCAATGAGAAACGATGATGTTGATTTGTATATTTTATATATGTATAGTCTGGTTCATAAAAAATGGCATAATTCAAAGTCTGCATTTAGACCTGTAGGGGCTAGAGTGTTGAGATTAAAAATCCATTTTGTTTCAACTTTTCCTAATTTTCTAATTTCATCTTCCCCTCGCCAGTTAAGTGTGATTTTCTGGATAGCCATAAATTCTAGAAATTGAGGGTCTTTATTATGTATTAAACTAAAGTGTTCTGAAACACTATGTTTATCGTACCCTTTTTTAATGTTTCTGATATGTTCATTTATTCGTGTTTGTAGGGGACGTTTCGTTCTACCAACATAGAATAAATTACAAGAACACTTTAAAACGTATATGACCCTCTTAGAAAAACACGTGATCATTTGGCGTATCTTGTATTTCTTCTCCCCTTTTGGGTCATAGAATTCTGTAATGTGCCTTTTTGTGCTTCTACAAGCTAGACACTGTCCACAGCCAAAAAAACCTTCTTTCTGAAAAAAGGGAGTAGGTGTATTTTCTTTAATATGGTTGTGTGTCAGTTTTCGTTTTAAGTTGGGAGCTCCTCTATATACTAATTTCGGTCTCTCTGGTAATATAGAGTGTAGCATAGGATCGTTCCTTAGCATGGGCCAGTTATTATTTGTTTAATTTTATGACTTTCTTGGTTAAAATTACAAATAAATGGCAAATTTATGTTTGTATTGATGCTTTTTGGTTTGTATTTTAGCAATGAGGTTCTTTCCATGGTTTTAACTTCTTCAATAGTATTTATGAGAGAGGTTTCTTCATACCCTTTTTCCATGAAATCTTGTTTAATTTTAATGGCCTGTATCTCAAAAGTGCTTTGATCAGTGCAGTTTCTACGAACTCTCATAAGTTGTGCTTTAGGTATATTTTTTAACCAAGGAGAAAAATGGCAACTGTTTAGGTAGATGTAATTATTTACATCTACCGGTTTAAAAAAAGTTTTGGTTTTAATACTGTTGTCTTCTATAAAAATAGTTAAGTCTAAAAAATTAACACTTTCTTTACTGTATTCTGTGGTTAATGTCACTCCCCAGTCATTTGTGTTTAGAAAGGTTAAAAATGTTTTTAAAAGATCCACTGAACCATTCCAGATTAAAAAAATATCGTCTATGTACCGCTTATAGGAGACAAGGCTCGCTCCCCACTCCAAATTGTTGTCTATAAATTGTGTTTCCCAATAGGCCATGAAAAGATTTGCGTAGCTCGGAGCGAACCTTGTCCCCATAGCACTACCGACTTTCTGTAGAAAGAATTCATTGTTGAACCAAAAATAATTATGAAGGATGAGATCTATTCCTTCCATAATAAAACTTATTTGTTCTTCTGGATAGGTGTTATCTTTTTTGAGAAAAAATTCTACTGCTTCTAGCCCTTTCGTATGTGAAATGATAGTGTAAAGGGAACTGACATCCGCCGTTACTAGGATATAGTTGGGTTCCCATTGAATGTGCTGTATTGTTTGTATAATGTTTAATGTATCTTTAAGATAATTTGGAGTTTTTTGAACTAGAGGTTGTAGACATTTGTCTAGGTATTCCGATAGCCTACTGGATACAGAATCTATCCCTGAGACTATCGGTCTAACTGGAGGGTTGGTTAAATGTTTATGGATTTTGGGAAGGTGGTAGAAGACTGGAATTCTTGGTTTGATAATATTGATGCTTTTCGTTTAATATTTCTATTTCTTTTCCTTTACTCAGTAGGTTGTCAAATTTATTTTTAATACTGATTGTTGGGTCTCCATTTAATTTTTGATATGTCGTGGTGTCTTCTACTAATCTGAGTCCCTCTCTCAGGTAGTCCTCCGTTTTCATAATGACAATCCCTCCACCTTTGTCCGCTGGTTTTATAACCTTATTTTTATCTTTCTGTAGTGCTTTCAAGGCTAGCCATTCCTCTTTACTTAGGTTCATATGTTTTTTATTTTTAGGTTTTATTTTATTTATATCCTGCATTACTGCATTACCGGCGAAAGCACTCTGGATCCTATAGTGCCGAAAACCCGGAAGTGACGCAACGGCATTTTAGCCGCGTCAGATGACAGAAAAGGACCCATTCGATTGGAAGAAGACATTTTAGGAGGGATTTTGGACGCTTAAAACACAGAATACCAAGAGGACACCCACAAGCTGACTGAGGAAGCCGTTGTTACCGGCGAAACGCGTTTTGGCATTTAAAGTGGACTCATCATTTTTGTTAAACCACTAATACTCGCAATACTTTGTTCTTATTCATTATTTTTTATTTTCTAGAAATATTTTTATACTGATTTTATATACTCTGTAATAAATTCTCTTATTTTACATAATCCACTGTATCCAGCACCAGTGATTCACCCCACAAATTGACACTAAGCCTATACACTTAGAGACTTAGAGACTTATACACTTAGAGACCGTTACCAAAAGGCTCTAAATAAGGTGAGCACTTTAATTTATTATTTAAGTGTATGTAAATATTACAAAGGATGCTACACTTAGTTGGATAATTCTGTGTCTTATATACGTTGTGGAGAGGAAAATACACACTTAACCTGGAGAGAGGGGTCGTGTGATCTACCCTTAAAGACACAGACGCACGGAAGTTTAGAGCCTAATTCACTTGAAAAGGCTCTAAAAAATGTGAGTGTAGATATATCCGTTACTCACTAAACTTTTCACTAAAGTATTTGACATACTGCACAATTATCTGTATATATTTCTGTTTTCTTTTGTATGTATATTACATTGGAGAATATAAAGGATAATTGTCTTTGAATCACAGGTAATTCACTGTGTTTTCACATACTATACAGCGCTGCACTCTTAAAGATAGAAGAAATCTATACTTGTATAAATACTTTGTAACAGACAGCCAAGAGCAACTTTTTAACTTGCTGTAGTTCAATGTTGAAGTGAGTGCTTTTCTTAGAGAATCACTGTTTTCAGTGCATCTCCGTGAGAAGCATTGTCCATTTATCACGGTGATTGCCTTAATGCCTCGTGTGTCCCGATGCTTCTCTATAATGTGAAAGTTATCAATAATCACGCCTTCACAGAAGTAGAACTCTTAAGATATAATCTAAAAAAAAGTTTGTGTTGTTTTTTGTTTTTTTTTGTAGAAGGGATTTAATTTTTACATTTTGTATTTTTTTTTTTTTTTATATAGTAATAGGTGTGTTCCGATTTATGTTTACAGGTGAATGAATTTCTCATATTGCGTGTTGCATATTCCCTCTCCATCAAGCAATCTCCATTTTTCAGTTTTTTCCTGCGAAGACTTAAAAAAAAAAAAGTCTTCAAGGGATTCTATAGTGTTAGTAATAAAAAAAGGTTTTTTTTATTTTATTTTTTAATTTTTTTTTGCATTTATAGATAATATTCCTGTGTGTGTATGCTGACAATCCTTGCTAGAGTCTTACTAGTTTGGCATCTAACCTCTCTATAGGAGGTGTCACGTGCGTGGGCTATAGGCCCAGCCGAGACAGTGGGGAGAGTGTGGAAGTGACAGGGTTAATGACACCAGACCCCTGGTTACCTGTTGCTAGTCCCAGCAACACTATCCCCCTTAGTACTACTGCCACCACCAAGACTTTTAAACCCGGGCGTCTTAGGTTACCCCACACACAGGAGAATTATAGTATCACAGTTCTACTTTTACTGATAAAACATATATAGTTAACCCCTTTTGGTAACGTGTTTACCTGAGCTTTCCTCTGGAGAGTGAAGCTCATAGAGAACAGAGACACAAGCTGATTAAGTAAACATTTAATCTGACAAAAAGGATTCACAGTGCTGAGTACAAAATACAGAAATAAATGACATACAGAAAACAAATTGCAAAACAGTACATAAAATAAAATAGGAGAAAACACAAGAAATTCCTTACATATATTTACCCCATATAGAATTCTTGTGGGAGTCTTAGATGGTATAGGTCTCCTAGAAGTTACTGACAAAAGAAAAATGAATAACTGACTCCCTGGATAGTCCAACACCCTCATATATCTAAACTAGTTGTTTCTCAGTGGGCAGACCCCTGGGGGGGATCAGAGGGGGCTGGTCTGGCAGTCTATTGCCCACTCTATGAAATTCCTTGTGTCCAGCTCTGGTGATGGCTATCTAGATGTTTTATGGTCTAGGCCTGGTGCAAGATCAAAGACCACAATAAACGTCATCCCAAGGTTTACAAAAAAACAACTCAACCTATATAAACACACATCAAACACTAACTCATGCTTTTGGCATGACAGGAGGGCTCTCTATTTAGGCAGGATATTGTTATTGCTGATTTTTTTTTTTTTTTCTAAACTCTGAGGAAAATGTTTTCTGCTGATTCAAAGTGACTGATCTAATCAACTTGTGGAACTGAAATTGAGCATGAATTTATACTCAATCCAGAAAATGTGATTATGGTAATAGAGAAAAAGTGTCTTATCAGGGAGGTTAAGGATAATACAGAAGTTGGACCCCTTGCTAACGGTGCCTAGGGGGATATCGGCTATACCTCACTGACGATGCCTAGCAAGGCTTGAACCATCATCTGGGGTTGCTGCATTTCTCGTGCAGAGAGAACCGGTCTGCATTTTGGATTTGTTCTGCCCTTTTGGGTGGAATTAGTCCTATATGCAAATGGCCTGGTTCTTTTTGCAATGGCACAAGATGAGATAAAACCAGCTTCTGACCTGAGCGGGGACCAACCGATGGGCAGGCTATTTGAGCTGTTGTCAGTTCTCCGTACTCTCTTGCAACTTTTTTTCTTTGCTCTCCTTTATCAGGGATGATGCACTAAAGGTGAATTTCGAATTTAAGGTCAAAATAGCTGAACTGGAAAAAGTCTTTAAGATAGCTATGCTTCCATTCAGCTACTCTGGCCTTAAATTTAGAATTCTCTACTTTATTGCAAATATCCCTCTATTGTGGAAAGAAAGTGTAACAATGCAAAACTGAAACCATTACACATAATTGGCACATCCATAAGACAACATGGCTTCTGTTTCAACAAGCTTCATCTCCAGTGTCAGAAATATTTATGGGATATCGTGAATTCTCACTTTAGTAAATAGCCCTGTTAGATATTTTTCTTTCTTTTACTATATGCTGTTTTATATTATAAAATGACACTTGTGGTTTTGTTTATTCTTAGAATGGCACAACATCACTCGGTGTGTCTAGCCTGTTTAACGTCTGATTGACAGCCAGGGGGTGTAACTAAGTTAATTTATAAAAGTGAGAATTTCTATTGAAATATGCACTTTTAGTAAAATGAAAAAGACAACATTTTTTCCACATAAAGCACTTCAGCAAGATAAAGTGCTCTATAGTTCTGGATTGTCCCTTTAGACTGTTGGCAATCATTTTGAAATTTGTGGGAAAGCACTGATCAGCTGTGAATTACATGTCAGTTGCCAATAATATTATAATTGTGATATATAGCGTTAGTCCTTGGATCAAAACCCTGTAGGCTTATTTGACAACTGCAGAGAATAAGGTGAAGAAGATCAGTAATACAGCTATAGACGCATGCTGGTTCTAACAGATCATTTTATCAGATTCATCCTGACATTTTGAGGTTAATAGGATCTCTTTAGAATGTGGGTTGATGTATAGTAGCTATGTTTCGTACCTCTGAGATTATGCCTTGTTCAGTTACAGGTATGGTTGCCGGATAAACAGTTTACTGTATGCTTGTAAGAAATACATACTACAGGATTGTGTTTTTAGAAATATAGTACTTAAAGGAGAGGTGTCACTTTCCATAGTTAAGTGTTCTTGCATAGCAAGACCACTTAATGTTATCTCACATATATATTATTAAGTGTTCTTGCATAGCAAGACCACTTAATGTTATCTCACATATATATTATTATTAAGTGTTCTTGCATAGCAAGACCATAATGTTATCTCCACATATATATTATTATTATTATTATTATTATTATTCTTATTAGCAAATTTGCCACCCTAACTCCTCCCACAGTTTTACACTACATATACCAGACAAATTTACCAAAGCGTGCAGATTGTTTCGATCGGATTGCTATTGCCTTTGTGGAGCGTTTTAGCGAATGGTTTCACGGAATATACGTCGTTCTTCTGGTGAAATTTGTCATAGGAATGAATGGCAAAGCTAGAGTGGGAGCTGGCAAAACTGAAAAATCAGGACATGATTTCTAAACTGCCACCACTCCCTTATTTTCAGGCCCACCTACACAAATCTTATATCAAAACGTTCAGCTATCCCTGCTGCCACTAAACATGTCAACGGCTAAGCCGTAGTCCTGATAGTTTTCGCAATATGACCATTTGTTTGCAACCAACGCCGTCCATTGACATTCATTGAAACTTCACTCTGCAAAGCTCAAATTTGAAGTGCAATTTCTAAACTGCGACTGTGCCTTCAATTTTAATGCTTCAGAGACATACTATGCATCAAAATGTAGGTCTGGGTCTTGTGATTCTCACAATATAAAGCTCTTCGCTGTAGGAGTTATAGTTTTTTAGATACGACCGTTTGAAGATGGCAACCGCCAAAATACTCTGACCTGTGTCAGGCTGCAGCAGCAAGTGATGTCATAGACAGGGCCTTTTGAACACCTGCTAATGTTTTTTTATAAATGTATGGTTTAATGTAACTGTGCAACAACGTTGCAATTAAATGTGCTATATAAATGATAACAGTTACTCCGCCCACTCCCAGTGGGCTACTGTGGAGGCAGAACACTTCACACAATTTCACACAGAAATTGCTTAACTTTCTAGTTATTATTATTATTATTATAGCAAAATTTGCCACCCCTAACTCCACGGTTTTACACCACATGGTCAAAATTTACCAAGCGTGCAGATTGTTCCCGATCGGATTGCTATTACTTTATTGGGCGTTCCGGAATGGTTCCGCGGTGTAAGTCGTTTTTGTGGCAATTTGTCCCATAGGAATGAATGGCAAAGCTAGAGTGGGAGCTGGCAAAAGCTGAAAAATCAGGACATGATTTCCAAACTGCCACCACTCCCTTATTTTCAGGCCCACCTACACAAATCTTATATCAACACGTTCAGCTATCCCTGCTACCACTAAACATGGCAACGGCTAAGCCGTAGTCCTGATAGTTTTCACAATATGACCATTTGTTTGCAACCAACGCCGTCCATTGACATTCATTGAAACTTCACTCTGCAAAGCTCAAATTTGAAGTGCAATTTGTAAACTGCGACTGTGC